CCCCCCCCTCCAAGTTCTGTTTTCTGGCTTTTGGCTTTGATTGTACCTAATGAATTCTTTGGTTAGGGGCTAGAGTTTAGGGTCAGGATACCATTTATCCTGCCTAATTCCGCCTTTGGAATAACTCCGTATTGGATAGATCCTGATAATTTATCTAGAATTCCCATCTTATTTGGGGAGGAGAGGTGGAATTTTTATTTCCCAATTGTTTTTCCTCCAACTGTACTTGCTTTCTGTTGGTAGCACACCTTCCCTAATCTCTTCCACCTTCCCTAATCTCTTCCTTTTGCATGCTCGGCATAATCCCCCTTCCCCGTGTGAGCTAGCTATCTCCGTCTCCTTACCTGGCAAGGCCTTCCATTGCTCTTCTTCCTTCCCATTGCAATCTCCTCTCTATACCCCCTTCCAGTCCCATTGCAAGCCCCATATTCTCTTGCTCCTGTGTCACTGCAAGAATCCACCACCTCTCTACGTCATATGTCTTCCTCTGCATAAGAATGCTGCTGCAAAATGTGACCCTCTATGGGTGTTTGGTATGAAGGAAAATATTTTTCGGAAAATGTTTTTCAATTTTTCCATGTTTGGTTGGCTTAAATGCTTTGGAAAATATTTTCCTCGTGAACTCATTTTCCTCCGATTGGAGCAAAATATTTTCCCTATCAAGAGAAGCGAAAACATATTCCAAAACTCTTCTTCAACCTTCCTAACCCTATTCTCCATCCCCACCAACTCCCCCACACCCACCCACCCCAACCCCCGCCCCACCCCTTACCCTAAATAAAAATATTATTAAGAGCACTTTTTTTTTCTTTATGTTGTAGATTAGGTACTTCCTTTTTCATTTCAACAAAATGAGTTTTTTTTCCTCATGATGTAAAAAAAAGTATTTTCTTTCATTTAAACAAAAAAAAGTACCTTCTTTTCACGATATAGAAAGAGTACTTTTTTTTCTAACCAAAAAAAGAGTATTTCCTTTTTAGTTATGGAAGAATAAATTTCAATGTTGTCTTTGCGTGAAAAAGTAAAGTAGCACATTAGTCCCTTTGGGTTTGTGTGAATTTTTAAAAGATTAATTAAATTCTTGAGAAAAATAGAATCCTAAAAACGTTGGGTATTTGGGGTTGGGANCCAAACAAACATTAAAAAATATTTTCCAGAAAAAGTTTTCACTCGTCAGCCAAACAAGGGAAAATAATTGATAAAACCACTCATTTTCTAGGAAAACATTTTCTTTCATACCAAGCACGCCCTATGTCCTGGTTTCCCTTCTCTCTCCGCGAGCACTCAGTCAAGCAATCGACTATGCCTTGTTCCCAAATCTTTGGGGTGCCAACTTGAATCCTCTACAGTACTCAATTCCATTTTATTCAGATCCATTTCTTTCCAATATTATAAAATTTGCCTTTTTAAGGCAAATAATTGGCTTCCTAAGTCTCTCACTTTTCCTACATGAGTAACTAGTTTAATCTCAAACGAGTTGGTATTACCTATATTGATCCTTTGCTTACATTATGTTATGTACATCAGTTCGAATTTATTTTTCCTGCTTTTACTTGGATTCATGACAAGCCGCTAGTTTAGTAGAGAAATACAGCTGGAAATTCCCTTTAAGGGGCTGATCTCTTGCAAACTTACAAGTTCTTGAAGAAGGGCAAAATGCGAAGAGAATTTAGATGATCACAAAGTTATAGCTAACATTACATATATTGAAAAATATTTATGAACTCTAACCCACAACGAAAGTAAGATTCTTACATGTCAATTATTTACTATTTAAGACGAAATAAAATTATATAGGGTTAAGTGTCTTTTACGTATTTTAGCAAGTTGCAGATTACCCTTATGATTGAAATAGACTCATCTCCTCTTGTGGTCTCAAAATTATTACTCCCTCCGTTCCAATTTATGTGAACCTGTTTGACTGGGCACGGAGTTTAAGAAAAAATAAAGACTTTTGGAATTTGTGGTCCAAAACAAGTCAAAAAGGGATCCAGAGTATTTGTGTGATTATAAAAACTTCTCATTAAGAGTGGAATTGGAAGTTTTTAAGCTAAATTGCTTCCAAAATTAGAAAGAGGGGTCATTTTTTTGGAACGGACCAAAAAGGAAATAAGTTCACATAAACTGGAACGGAGGGAGTATGTATTACCCTCTTTTTTAGTTCATTTTTTTTTTGATTTGCACCGGGTGTCCAAGTCTCTTTGAGCCCCGACTAATCCCGGGGGTGCACAGGCCCTTGGCAAGGAGTTTCCCGCAAGTGCACCACGGTTAATTCAGGTTTTACCCAGTCCGATGGCCCTCAGAAATTGTTTGCACCCAGTGGGTTTCGAACTTGAGACCTTGAAAGGGAGCAAACCCCAAGGCTCAAGTCAATTGCCACCAGGCCAACCCCTGAGGGTTCCCCTTTTTTAGTTCATGTCTGACATAACTAGTTTCCCTCTTTAAAAGAAGCGATAAAAATGAGTTTTCCCTTATAAAGTAGTGATAAAATGTATATTACCCCACTTGGAGTTTTAAAAACTTATCAATTTAAGTCATAGGGTAATGAAACTGTCTTATCACTCTCTGATGGGACATTATGGATTGACCTTACCAGAAAAATCATTTATTTTCATTTGCCAGCCTTATAAAAGATGTACATTTTCTCGTCAAATTTTTAATGAAATTAGATGATAAGTTCTCTCATCAAGTTTTGGATGAGATTTAGTAAAGAATTTTTTTTATGATAAGTTTATAAATATTTGTGATGATGAGAAGTTGCTACTTATATTTTCTTTTCCTTTTGAAGAATGATACCAGCATAGACTCGTTGTTTCATATTTTGGTGCAACCCTAATATGAGGACTTGGGAAATTGAGAAGTCGGCTATTAAATCAAGCAATTTATTTATTTATTATTATTATTATTATTATTATTGTTGTTGTTGTTGTTGTTGTCGTCATTGTTGTTGTTATTATTTTCATTTGTGAAATAATAATGACCAAAAGCGACTTAATAGAGTTTCACTATGACAGGGTTGATTAGAAAACTTTCAGTAGGCCACGCATATTAATATTACTACTCTTTCGCAAGAAAGAAAACATGCCTTGATGACAATGAGGTAGTTCACATGATTTGTGGGACCAATATTCTATTTTCTTTTCACGAAGGTAAGCTATTTGTTTGTAAATTAAATGGTGACAGTATACATTTATTGATTTGTTATTTCAGGTCACTTTAGAACTCCCCATTTATATTATTGAGTTAATTGATAATCTACAGTTAGATCAATAATTATTAAGCCAATTATATAAATGGAGTCCTAAAAGTGACCTAAAATAACTAATAATCTAATTAATGATACCACTAAAGGATTTATACTAAGCAAACAGCAAAACTGCTGTTATACTGTTCTGTGAACTTTAATTTCTTTGCCCCTCCATTATAGTAGACAGTACCCAAAGATATTGGGGGACTAAAAATCTGAATAGTGGCTTACCAAACGCTAGACACGGTTGAATGGGTATCGTGGATCATGCCTTAACAGTGAAGGCTATTCGTCTGGGCCTTTAGAAGATGGAAGAGAAGAAACGGAGCGTTGGATTTTGCTCCATTTACTGTTATGTGGGTAGTTTGGAGAAAGAGAAATAGGAGAGTTTTTGAAGGAAACAAACTTGGTTTTGTACATTGAAGAACAGCCAATCTTTGATTTCTTTTTGTGTTGACCGCATTCTGGTCCTTCCTTTCTTTAAGGAAAGGAATGAAGGATTATGCTTATACAGCTTTTTACAAGTTGACACTCTTTTTTCCTGTTGTTTTGTTGTAAACAGGCAAACGATGGAATTTTCTGGATGTCTTGGCAAGATTTCCAGATACATTTTAGGTCTATATATGTTTGTCGTGTCTACCCACCAGAAATGCGCTACTCAATCCATGGTCAATGGAGAGGTTATAGTGCTGGAGGCTGCCAGGATTATGACACATGGCATCAGAACCCCCAATATCGGCTAAGAGCGAGTGGTCCTGATGCTTCCTTGCCCATTCACGTTTTTATCACCTTAACTCAGGTGCACTGATGTGATTAAGTTGGAACAGAATCGTTACTTATTGGCATTTATCTTTTGTTGATCAAATAGACTAATCAGAATGCTATTTTAGGGTGTGAGCTTCTCAAGGACAACAGCTGGTTTCAGGAATTATCAGTCAAGCCATGATTCAATGATGTTCTACATTGGGATGAGGATACTGAAAACTCGTGGTAGACGTGCTGCATATAACATCTATTTGCATGAGTCTGTTGGTGGGACAGACTATGTAAATTCACGAGAAATATCGTGTGAGATGGTTCTGGATCCTGATCCAAAGGGTTACACGATAGTGCCTACTACAATACATCCTGGTGAAGAGGCGCCTTTTGTTCTCTCTGTTTTTACCAAAGCCGCCATAAGTCTTGAAGCTTTATAATTTTGCATTGATGGCCCATTTGGTTTGGGTATGATTATACTTGTGGGTCCCGAGCATCTTTCTGAAGAGATTCTGCTTGGACCATTCATATCTGTCTAAGAGCTGGGTGAATGGTAAATTAGCAGTAGAAATGCTTGGTAAGTTTCTTCTCTAACTTCTTACACTATCCTTTTGCCATGGACAAGAAATTAGCTGATGCATTTCATCCTCTGAAATTCTGTCTAATCTTGTTACGTTTGGTTTTGACAAGTATACTTTATGTTTTTTCTGTCTACTTTTATCAGGCATAAAAAGAGAAGAAAGGATGTTCTGTCCTTTGCAATGGATGAAGCATGCTCTGCCTTATTCTCGGGAAGTCTGTGGTCGCTAAATCTCATTCATGTATGGGGGCTGGAAGTCTCTTCTGAGTCAATAGAAGGAAGATGGTCCATTGATTCTAGTCTTCAGCCTCTGAACGTGGTCTCGAAGCGGGTTCTCGGGGATTAGACAGTGTACATGAGTAGATGTTGTAAGAAAATAGGATTTAGTAATGTAAATGAGGGTTAACAAAAAAAGAATAGGTGAAAAGAATAGAAATAGGTGTTAGGAATGCCCTGTTGGATGGGTTATAGCGTGTTGGAGTCTGGCTGAAAATTATTTGAAGTTTCAGCACCAGTTTTGAAGTACTGGTAGACAGCATTAATTGTAAAGAAGGAACATTTTTCATTAATAGAATCAACTATTTTTTCTACATCTACCGCGTTTGTGTTTGTATTTGGAAGTACATCATACGTGGAATGGAAATGATTTGAGAAATGGAGAAAAGCAGGAAGATCAATGGGGCAAAGAGAAATTTGGACGAAGGTTCAACGAGCATGTTTTTGGTAAAAGATTAGCTGGTTTGGCCACTTTTTGAGCCGGCTATTGAAGTTTAGCCATATTTTGAATTAGTAATGATAAAGTAGCCAATCACGGAACACAAATCTAGCAATCCGGTCGCTCGGATGTATGTAGACGGTGTGAGCTATAACACACACAAATTTGAAAATCGTGCATAATTTTTGTTTTATAACCATGAAACGGGTAATGGTATGGTTCCTTAGGTCATTTTAGATGAGCCGACAAAATTTTAGTCGATTCGGGTCCGGTCGCTGGATGCATGTAGATGGCGTGGGTGACAACAGATGAAAATCTGAGAATCGATTAGAATTTCCCTTTTATGGTCATAGAACGCTAAAAAACGAGAAACGGTCATGGCGAAACGATGACTATTATTTCTTAGGTCAATTTTGATTGGCCGATAAAATTTTAGGCGATTCACGTCCGGTCGCCTGGATGCATGCAAATGACATAACACACGAAAATCTTGGAATCAAGCGGAATTGTAGTTTTATGACCCTAAAACTCCAAAAAAGAGGAACGGTCACAGCGAAACGATGACATTGTTCCTTAGGTCACTTTTGATAGGCCGACAAAATTTTAGGCGATTCGGGTCCGGTCGCTCAGACGCATGCAGATGGCGTAGGCTATATATAACACACGAGAATTTGAGAATCAGGCGTAATTCAAGATTTATGGCCCTAACACGCCAAAAGATAAGGAACGGTCACGGCGAAGTGATGACTATTGTTCCTTAGGTCATTTTAGATGGGCTGACATAATTTTAGGCAATTCGGGTCCGATCGCCCGGATGCATGCAGATGGCGTGGGCTATTGCACACCAAAATGTGTAAATCAAGCGAAATTTCAGTTTCATGGCCTTTAAATTGCAAAAAATGACGGATAGTCTTGACAAAGCGATGACTATTGTTCCTTAAGTCGTTTTTTAGGGTCGACAAAATTTTAGATGATTCGGGTCCGATCGCTCGGTCTTTTGTAGAAAGCGTAGGCTATAGCACAAGAAAATCTGGGAATCGCGCGGAATTCCTTTTTTATGGCCCTAAAACACCAAAACAAGGAACAGTCAAGGCGTTGCGATGACTATGGTTCCTTATGTCGTTTTTGATGGGCCGACAAAATATTAGGCGATTCGGGTTTGGTCGCCTGGATGCATGCAGATGACGTGGACTATAGCATACGGAAATTTAGGAATTGTGCGTAGTTCCTGTTTTATGGGCCTAAAACACCAAAAAACGAGGAACAATCATGGAGAAACGATAACTATTGTTCCTAAGGTCATTTTTGATAGGATGACAAAATTTTAGGCGATTCGAGTTTAGTCGCCTGGATACATGCAGATGGCGTGGGCTATAGCACACAAAATCTGGGAATCGTGCGTAATTCATACGCCCTAAAATGCCAAAAAATGAGGAACAATCATGGCGAAGCGATGATTATTTTTCCTTAAGTCGTTTTTGATGTACTAGCAAAATTTTAGCGATACGGGTGCGATCGCCCAGACCCATGCAAATGGTGGGGCTATAGCACACGAAAATGTTGGCGATTCGAGCAGTTTTAGTTTTATGACGTTTTAGTTTTATGGCCCTAAAATACCAAAAAATGAGGAATGGTCATGACGAGTCAATGACTATTGTTCTTTAGGTCTTTTTGATGGGCCGGATAATTTATAGGCAATTCGGGTCCGGTCGCTGGGACCCATGCATATAGCGAGGTCTATAGAACATGAAAATCTGGGAATCTAGAGGAATTCTAGTTTTATGGCCCTAAAATGCCTAAAAACGAGGAACGGTCATGGAGCGGCAATGATTATTGTTCTTTGGGTCGTTTTTGATGGGCCGACGAAATATTAGGCATTTCAGGTCCTGAAATTTTGGGAATCTGGCGGAATTCCAGTTTTATGGTCCTAAAACGCCAAAAACGATAAACGGTCAAGGCGAGACGATGACTATTGTTCCTTATGTCATTTTTTATGAGCCGACAAAATTTTAGGCAATTCGGGTACGGTCTCGAGGACCCATTCCTATGGCGTGATCTAGGAATTAGGCAGAATGCCTCTTATATAGCCCTAAAACGCCAAAATTGAAGAACGGTCATGACGAAGCGATGCCTATTGTTCCTTAGATCATTTTTATGGGACGACAAAATTTTAGGCGATTTAGGTTCGGTTGCCGGATCTATACATATGGCATAGGCTATAGAACACGAAAATATGGGAATCAGGCCGAGTTCTCGTTTTATGGCCTTAAAACGTGAAAATACGAGTAACGATCATGGCAGGGCGGTGACCAATGTTCCTTAGGTCATTTTAGATGGTTCGAATAAATTTTAGACGGTTCGGGTCCGAAAGACCGATCCCACACGGAAGACGTGTGCTATAGCGCACGAAAATATGGGAATCTGGCCAAAATCACGTTTTATGGACCTAAAATGCCAATAGAATAAGGAACGATCATGGTGGGTTGGTGACCAGTGTTCCTTATGTCGTTTTCTATTGTCCGGATATTTTTACGAGGTCCGGGTCTGTGGGCCCGGGCCCACACAGAAGGCGTAGCACACGAAAATATGAGAATCAGGCCGAGTTCTCGTTTTATGGCCCTAAAATGCCAAATAAACGAGGAACAATCATGGCGGGTCGGTGACCAATGTTCCTTAGGTCATTTTCGATGGTTGGATAAAGTTTAGGCGGTCCAGGTCCAAAGGCTCGAGCCCACGAGGAAGGCGTGGGCTATTGAACACGAAAATATGGAATCAAGTCGAGTTCTCATTTCATGACCTTAAAACGCAAAAATACGAGTAACGCTCACGGATGAGCGGTGATCAATGTTCCTTAGGTCGTTTTCGATGGTTTAGATAAATTTTAGGCGGTCCGGGTTCGAAGGCCCAATCCCATGCAGAAGGTGTGTGCTATAACACACAGAAATATGGGAATCGGGCTGAATTCTCGTCTTATGGCCCTAAAATGCCAAAACATGAGGAACGATCATGATGGGTTGGTGACTAATGTTCCTTAGGTCATTTTCTATTGTTCGGATAAATTTTAGGCGGTCCAGGTCCTGGGGCCCGTGCCCACACGAAAGGAGTGGGTTATAGCACACAAAATATAGGAATCGAACCAAGTTCTCGTTTTATGGCCCTAAAATGCCAAAACACGAGGAACGATCATGGCGGGTCAGTGACAATTGTTTCTTAGGTAATTTTTGATGGTTCGGATAAATTTTAGGCGGTGCGGGTCTGAAGGCTCGAGCCCACACAGAAGGCGCTAGATATAGCACATGAAAATATGGGAATCAGGACGAATTCTCGTTTTATGGCCCTAAAACGCTAAATAATGAGTAGCGGTGTTGGCGGGTCGGCAACTAATTTTACGTAGATAGTTTTCTAATGTTCGGATAAATTTTTGGCGATCCAGGACTGGGGTCTCGGGCCCACGCGGAAGGCGTGGGCTATAACACACGAAAATAGGGGAATCGAGACGAGTTCTCATTTTATGGCACTTAAATACCAAAAAATGACGAACGGTCATGGCTGGTTAGATAAATTTTCTATTTCCCTTGTGTCATTTTCTATTTCCCAGATAGATTTTTGGCGGTCCGGGGGCCAGAGCCCATGCGGAAGGCGTTGACTATAATATATGAAAATATAAGAATCGGCCCGAGTTCTCGTTTTACGGCCCTAAAATGCCAAAATTTGAGAAACGGTCATGGCAGGTCGGTGACCAATGTTCCTTATGTCGTTTTCTTTTACCCGGATTAGTTTTAGGCGGTCCCGGTACGGGGGCCTGGGCCCACGCAAAAGGAGTGGGTATAATACATAAAAATAAGGGAATCGGGCCGAGTTCTCATTTTATAACACTAAAACGCTAAAATATGAGGAACGATCATGGCGGGTCGGTGACCAATGTTCTTTAGGTATTTTGCTATTGTCCGTATAAATTTTTGGTGGTCCAAGTCCGGGGGCTCGGGCCCACGCATAAGGCGTGGGCTATATCATATGAAAATAAGGGAATCGGGCAGAGTTCTCGTTTTATGGCCCTAAAATGCCAAAAAATGAGGAATGTTCATGGCGGATCGGTGACCAATGTTCCTTATGTTGTTTTCTATTGCCCGGATAACTTTTAGGCGGTCCGGGTCTGGGGGCCCGGGCCCATGCAGAAGGCGTGGGCTATAGAACACGAAAATATGGGAATCAGGTTGAGTTCTTGTTTGTGGCCCTAAAACGCTAAAACATGAGCAAACGGTCTTGGTGGGTCGGTGACCAAT